TGTCCCTCAGGAAGTCCAGGGCTCAAAAGAGACTCAAGAAAGAGACTACTTAGAAAGTGTGTGTTTTCCCCATTCACATTTAGACCACTTTTATCAGGATGTATAAGCATGGAAAAATAGACATTTTTTCATGTCATTAATTTAATAATAATATTAAACAGCAGAAGTGGTGAAAATAGCCAATGGTGGTGGGGATAAAACCTGTGCAAGGCTGAAAGAGCTAAAAATAAACTCCAAACATATTCTGGACAGCTAAACCCAAACATTCCCACTAAGTTATCGTCCTTGAAAAAGGCAGGAAAATAAAAAAGATAACAAATTAGTGCCAAAAAGCCACCACTGATTAACCATGAAGGCATTTTGAAAATGGAAATGTGGAAAAATGCAAAAGGCTGCTTTAAACAGGACAGCGAAATCACTTCGGAATCTGACTTGGAGAACAGCTTTAAGGCTTTCTGTTATGCACACCGTGGTCTGGGCCACCGTGCAGGTGCTGGACTCTGGCCTTTGGATTGGACAGAAGCGTCCCAAGGAGCAACTCCACTGGCCACTCGCTGGGCAGCCTCCACCCCCCTTTAACACCAGAGCCCTGTTAGCTCTGAGCACTCAGGGCAGGACAGGGTAGTTTGAGTTGTCAGGCAGGGGACTGAGCTTCTCACTTGCTGCCCCTCCAACTACTGAAAACAAACAAACAAACAAAAAAACTGCTCAAAAAGACGTGCGAGCAGAAAATAAGAAAAAGAGACATGAGGAATCTCACGCACATTTAAGGAAAGCAGCAACCTTCAACAATAGCGCTAGAATTTACCTTGTGGGAGACAGCCCTGCCCTCTGTTTTAGACTCAGACTCAATGCTAGCCTGAAACTTGAAAGAGGAAGTTGTAAGGAGCCTGACAATTACCTCAGAGCGACGGAAGGTCCTCTCTCCCGTCCACCAATAACCGCCCTTGAAAGAGGGGAGTTGGGGTCCTTAAATACCAGCTCTCACACGCCTCCAGAGCTGACACTCACTCCAGGATGGAGCTGCTGCCCGGGCACCGCTTCCCTTCCCTGCTGCTTCTACTGCTGCCTCTGCTGGCAGCTGGGCTCTGGGCGCCGCTGGCTGGTGAGTGCTTTCAGGGCAGGGCACAGGGCAGGGAGAGAGGGTGGGGACCTCCTCGCGGGCCTGCGCTTCTCTGTGGAGGCTTCTCCCAGAAGTCACAGGAGGAGGATGGGAGGGGGTGTGGAAACTGCTGGAGCCCCAGCCCCGTCCTCCGAAACTGGGTGCTGAGCCTGGATGAGTGCGGACCCTGCACGGAGGCGACCGCGGCCATCCCCCTCCCTGCCTGCATCCACAAACTCCCCCTCCGACCCACCTGTGTCCACTCACTGCCTCACCGCTCACAGCCTCATCAGGCCACGGCCCTCCTGAGTTGCTGAGTCCCTGTGAGCCTCTGAGCCAGTCTCAGCACGGGACCAGGAACGCTGGGCTTCCAGTCCAATCTGTCCCTTTTTCATCGGGCGGGTCCTGACTTCTCCCCTACCCCTTGGCGCCTATCCTCTGCCTGAGGACGCCCCAGGCAAGCAAATCCCCAGCCCAGGATCCTAAGTCTAAGGGGTGGGGACACCATCCCGCACCCCCCCCCCCCCGCCCCTTTCAGGCAACTTCTGCAATTCCCCTGGCTGCTGGGAGACAGCACTGTAGAAGATGAGCTTTTTTTTTTTTCACACAGGAGTTGGCCAACTTGTGTAAAGGGTGACTGTACAAGTCTGAGTCATCTGTTTCCCCAGCTGCTCAATTTTTCTTGGTGGCCTCAGTGACATCACCAGCCAGGGACAACTTGCAAAGGAACTAGGGCCCAGATCTGAGCAGGGTCCCATTTGCCCACCCCAGTTTGTGGCATCTACAGTGCCCCGGCTGTTGGAGCCCCAGCCCGCAGGGTGTCCTTATTGAGTGGTCTCGGGTGCGTGGGTGAGAGTCAGCAGCAGATTCTGTCCTGCGGTGGCTTTTGGTGGCCGCAGGGAGAGGAGTGGGGTCCTGTGGTTGCAGCATTACTGCTACTCCTGTGCTGTCCAGCGGGGTCCTGGGTCCACATGGGGATACTCCCTGCAGCCGAGGGGTGAGCTCATCTCGGAGTGAGTGGTGCTGCCTTGCACTGGCATCAGTGGACAGGCTCCCTGCTCCTGAACCCCACCAGGAGTTCCTCACAGGCGAGGGGCACGGGTGGCTCCAGCTCAGGAAACTGAAGATCTGGGCTCGAGTTCTGTGATTTACCCAGGACCAGTGTCCATGGGATGCGCGTGGAGATTGCGGTTCCTGGTGGTGGATGTTGGAGTCCTCGTGTGCTTATTCCCCGAGTTACCCAGGCTTTTCTACAACCAGAGTCCTGCAGTAAAAGCTGTTGCTGTCTCTCACTGTAAACCTGTGACTGCCTTGACCTTTCCTGAGAAAGAGTTTCCTCTCCTCTCACTGGGTCCCGCTCAGTGCTGCTGTTTTCAGTCCTCGTCTGGACAGGAGATTTGGCCTCAGGTGCGGGTAGGGGAGGCGGTCATCATCCAGCCACTGTGCTAACTGCTTCTGCCAGCTTCTTCCCGGTGTGTGGTGTCAGCCCTGGTTGGGTTCACGTAGGAGCATGTGTGCGTGCACTCAGGTGACAGGTGCACTCCTGTATGTCCACCTGTCTGTTCACACTCTTCTCTGTAGGACCCCCCAGCTGACTGATCTGCCCTGATCGCCCACTCCTGCCATACTCTGGAAACCGTGTTTCTCAATGCTTCCCTCCTATGCACACCTGTCTTGGTCTTTCTTTTGCCTCTTGGAGTCAGTTCGGCTAGAAGCTCGGAGAAGACAGTGGCTGTCCAGGGACCACCCACACCAGGCTTCCCCTGCTGCTGCCTGGGCCAGCATCGTCTGCGCCAGCTTTCTGGAATGTCCATGTGGTTTGCACTTTCTTATCACGTGGTGTCGGAGTTTCTGTTCAGATGCGTGTGAGCTTAGGTACTGTGTATGCTTACACAGGACTCCTGTCACCAGCCCCCTCCGAGTCTAGTGGGCCATGCCGAGGACCCTGTGTACTTGGTCAGAGAACCTGAATGAATTACAAGGAGCACAGGTGGCAGAAAGTCGGGAGCCAGTGATGGAGTTGCAATGGCGGGAATTGATTTCCATGCGTCCTATCCCTGCCCTTCAGGTGGGCTCCTTAGACTTGGAGCTGGGGGAGAGGTTGAGTGTGAGTCCTTTCTCATCCCCACACCTCACTCGTGTTTCTCTTCCACAGATGCTCACTCCCTTTGCTACAACATAACTGTCAATCCCAAGGCCAGACCCAGACAGCAACGGTGTGATGTTCAGGTTCACGTGGATGACAGGATGATTCTGCACTGTGATTGCAGCTTCACTCAGATCAGCTTTTTTGACCCCCTTGGGAGGGAAGTGGATGCCATTGACAACTGGGCAGAGCAGACAGAAATGCTGCGAGACGTGGTGGACACCCTCAACCAGCAAGTGGTCGAAATGAAACATTCCACAAGCAAGGGTGAGCCTGAAAGACCCTGGGCAGAGGGCAGGTTTGTGAATAAGGACTGAAGATTTCCATGTGCAGAAATGGATACTGGGGTTCCTTTGGAGGCCCAGCAACAGGGCAGGAGTGGTAGGACATCAGGGCGAGGCGATGAAAAGGGGACGGGAGTGGAGGATCCCAGGTGGGGCAAAGGGTCTGTCAAGACTGATCTGGGCATGGGGACTTCCTTATGTTTCTGTGAAGTTGCAAGTTGGCCCCACTCAAGTGCCCCAGGAGGAAGTGCAGGATGCAGAGGACAGAGCAGGGCCAGGAGATACCAGAGGGACGGTTGGGAGAAGTGGATCCCAGGTGGGGCAGAGGACCTGTCAAGACTGATCTCTGACAATGTCTTTCCAATGGGGGCAGATCCCCCGAGCTTGCAGGGCAGGATGTGCTGCTGGCATGGAGCCAGCGGCGGCAGGCACGGGTCTTGGCAGTTCAGCTTCGGTGGACAGATCGGCCTCCTCTTTGACCCAAACGCCAGAAAGTGGACAGAGGTTCATCCTGGGGCCAGCTGGAATAAGACGACCTGGGAGAATGACAGGCAGCTGACTGACAAATTAAGCAGGGTGTCCATAGGAGACTGCACAAGGTGGCTGGGGAAATTCTTGTTGCCCTGGAAGGTGATGTTGGAGACTACAGGTAACTAGGGATGGGGTGGCGGGAAGGGGTGCTCTCTGGAGATGAGATGACGCCACCGTAGTGTGTGCATGCAAGGTGTGGGTGCTGTGTGCATGTGAGTGTGCTGTACCGGGGTGTGTGTGCATGCCAGGATATGGGTGTGTGTGCATGTAAGGGTGTAGATGCTGGTGCGTGTGGTGTGGGAATGTGGGTGTGTATGAATGAGAGTGTGGGTGTGACGATTTATGTGTGCTGTGTGAGCCTGTGAGTGTCCTGTGCTGTGTGTGTGCCAGGGTAGGGTGCTGTGTGCAGGTGTGTGTGAGCCTGAGTGTCTGAAAACATGATCCAGTGTGATGTGTCCCTCCCTATGACAACAGCAGCATCCACCGCTGTGCCTTCCCTCACACCTCTCCTCCTCCTCCTGCTCATCTCTTCCTCACGGTGTGTATTTCAGTCCCCTCACGTGCCCTCCTGCTGGCATCCACCCGTGCCTGTCGCTGTTTCTAGACCTTCTCCCATCGCCATCCCCTCTTCCTAGAATACCAGTTCTCCCATTTCTCTGCTCTCTCTCTTTGGTCCTTCAGAACCATCTCCAGGTCCAGCTCCTGCCCCCCTTCCTGGCCACCACCCAGGAGGGATGGTCTGCATGGTCACCCTGGCTTCCTCTCTGGCAGATCTTTCCCATCCTCCCTCCGTGCTACTCCAGGACCTGTCACAGCAGCTGCTCAGTATAGGTGCCAGCTGTGTGCACGGCTGCCTTTAACAGGAGCAGGAGCTGGAAGGCCTCTCCTGGGGTTTGGAGTCTGGATGGGGGCCTCCAGTCTTCTGCTTCCATTTCAGCGCGGCCACCCACAACCTTAGGAGTAGTTGCATCCAAGGCCACGGCCACCATGCCCATGCCCTGGGCCTTTTTCCTGCTCCTCACCAGCTCAGTCCTCCTTGTCGTGCAAGGGGAGCCATTCTGAGTGACAGGTATGGAGGGCAGCATTGGGAGGGAAGCAGAGGGCAGATGGGATTGGCTGGGATGATGGCAGAGGGAATTCCCCAAGTCCAGTCCTGTCCCCTGGACTGCACTGTCTCATTCTGGAAATGAGACGAGGAAATCAGTCCTCATGTCCCTCAGTAGCATTAACTGGGACCAGCTCAGCCCTGAGTTCTAATGAATTCTCACTGTCAGGAGCCAGCCTGGTGGAGGGAGAGGGGGGGGGGGCCCTTTCCTACACCAGGTTCAGCAGCTGGTTCATGGCCTGTGGGTTGAAGAAGGCTTAGCCAGCTCAGGATTGTGTAGCGCAGATTCAGGGCCCAGTCACGGGATATTGGGGCACAGGAACACAGGCACAGGGTTTGTGGGCAGCAAGCAGCATGGACGCTCCACTCGAGGAGTCGTTGTCAGAGATTCCATCCTCAAAGCAAAGAGGATGCTGACCCCTTCCCAGGATGAGGGGTGGGAAGGATTTTGTAACCCAGCTCCTAAGGCAGAGGGCAGGGCGTTCCTGGTACCAGAGAACCTGTAAAAGGTCTTGGTCCCCCTGCAGGAAGAGAACTGTGGGATGCTCCAAGGTTAAAATGAACTAGCAAGGTCTGTTGTAAGCAAAGTCCACTCTCAGGGCAGGAGAGCGGGTGGGCAGGTGTACAGCATCTGTGCTGAGAATCTGAGGAAGATTCCTTCTTTATTGCATCTGATGGGGGGGGGGTGGAGAATTCCTGAGATGGGAGGAGGACTCTAGGAGTAGCCGGGGCTGTCCTGGAGCAGGGAATCACCTGTCTTTTCTCTAACCAGGGCTTCTCCCATCTGTGATGCTGGAATCACAACCACAGTGACCGCACTGCTGACATGACACTGCCTATCTGGGACATTCACCACTGGGTGCCTTTGGAGTTGTTGGGCCATGGAAAGTGCTTGCAGCCCTCTTGGGCCTCTGGGGTCTACTCACGTCGAGCTGTGTGCATTGAGAGCTCCCCTACCCAGGGACTTTGGCCTCTGACTTCTTCTTCTGGGAAGCAGGACAAGCCTCTGTCTCCTGTGACCTCATCAGGCTGAGGAAGGATGTAGGCCCTGCCTAGGCCAGGAGCCCAGATTCCGTGCTGAGTGGTCCAGAGTCTGTATATGGAAGCGTTAGGCTTGAGGGAACAAGGGAAGTCCTAGGAAACTTGGTCGAAGAGACCCTTTTATTTTTTAAGCTTTGTATCATTGACACCTGGAATAGCCCAGTTTAAGATCCAAGTTATAAAGAGAAACACGGAATATAAGAAGGAGAGTGACTGCAAGCAGCCGTGCCAGTGAGAGTTTGAATCCAGACTGCAAGACAATACCTGTGTCCTTCTTCTTGTGTTAGTTTCTGTACCATTTTGTTTTTATGTATTGATTCTGTATTTTAACCTGTCATGAGCCGTTAGCCCAAGTTCAGGAACATTGGTGCTATGACTTGGATCACATCTCTTCACTAGCTATGCCTTGTCATTCCCTGTTCTACCAATGGCCCAGCGACCCAATGCAGCACACTCCACTGTGGGAGATCCCGTGAGACTGCCTGCCTAGCCCATGCAGTTATCTGAGTGCTGGCAGGCCCAGGAGCCCCAGGAATGTTTCCCCCAGTCCTGCCTCTGCCAATCAGGTAAACCGCTCCTGGGTGTGGCCCAGGCCCACCTGGAAAGCTAGGAGCCTATGTGACCTTCAAGCTGATTGAGAAGCATAGTGGCACCAATACCACCTTCAGCTATAGAATTAGTGCTGCCCTGAATCGGTTATGTGCCCTCTGCCTGCCCTTTACAAGGTGTGCTTGGTGCTAATAAAGCTGTCGTGTGCCCTGAAACTTGTTTCCGATGTGTCTTATGGAAGAGTGCTGGTGCCCCACCCATGCAGACAGTGTGCGGGACTCCCAGGATGAGCCCGCCACTGGCACCCAATGTGAGGTGTGAACGCAGGTGCAGGCCCACAATGCCTGTCTGCTAGGTGAAGAGGGTACCTCTGTCTCCTTCTAGGGACTGCAGACACATTCGTTGGCTCCCCATGTGGACATGGTTAATAATGGCTGGCCAAGGTTTCTAACTTTACTTATCTTTCTACCTCCACACTGTCCCTTATGTGTGCACTGTGTTTGAGCACCATCCCAGGAAGGAAGCTCCCATGGGGATAGTGAGACTGCCCTGGGCACCTGGTCGCAGCATGGGACCTGGATCACAGAGTGCACGCTACTCCATCCCTGCAGGCTGGGCCTTCCAGGTGCTCCAGGGAAGCTGGACAGGGAGCCCTGGGGGATGCATGCCAGGGGGAGGGGTGCATTCTTAGGGAGCCTAGGTGAAATCTGAAGCCCCAGACTCCTCTCTCCCCAGTTTCAGGCTAGCTTGGGTTCCTTCCAGGACAGAGCCACTCTCAGAACACCCATCTGGCTTTTTAAGGGCTTGGCCTCACCCTGCCAGAGGAAAAAGCGAGGCTGCTCTGTGGCTTGTAAGCTTTTCTATTCTAAGCAAGCTCTCTAGGATGGATCATTTGCATTAGCAGCTTTCATTTACATTTTGACAAATTTATATTTTGATGGGATTGAGGATTTTGCCAACGTTGGACTGAAAAAAGATAATTAGTGTGACAATGTAGGACATGGTATATCAGATAGACCCCAAGGGCCAACAAATGTATTCTGAGCAAGTCAGTGTGTCTCAGAATGGCAGATACAAGAAGAATTGAGTTTATTGTTTTAGAATCAGCAGGACAAGCAGAAAAATGACAACGGATCTTAAGACCACATTGTCAAGGGAGGGAAGTTGAAAACTATTGATGTTGGTGGATAGCAAATGCTGAACGTAGCAGCACCATAGAGGGAAAATGAGGGCAAACATAACTGGTTGGACTCCTGCATGCACACGGGCAATCTAATATGGAATGGTTGGGCGCGGTTCCAAGATGGCAGAATAGGGAGGGAGCTTACTGATCTAGTCCAGGAGATGATAATACAAAAAGTGGAGATAGTATAGTCTCAAGGAAGAGCTAGGGACAAAACAGCAGAGGAAGCTATTCTGAAATTAAGGGACATGATGGACCTACGTGGAGGGTGTGGGCACCCACAGCTCGGGACTCCAGCTGCTGAGTGCCTACGCACCAGCGCTGGAAAGTGAGGTGAGGTGAGACCGCAATAGCTGGAGAAACTGGCAATAAGGCAGCAGGGGGGGCTGGCGCTGTGGCTCACTTGGTTAATCCTCTGCCTATGGTGCCGGCATCCCATATGGGCACCAGGTTCTAGTCCTGGTTGCTCCTCTTCCAGTCCAGCTCTCTGCTGTGGCCTGGGAGTGCAGTGGAGGATGGCCCAAGTGCTAGGGCCGCTGCACTCGCATGGGAGACCAGGAAGAAGCACCTGGCTTCTGGCTTCATATTGGCACAGCTCCGGCCATGGTGGACATTTGGAGGAAGATCTTTCTCTCTGTCTCTCACTGTGTATAACTCTACCTGTCAAATAAATTTTAAAAAAGTGGCAGGAAGTGCCTAGAGGGAATGAGGCTTGAAGCCCTGTGGGGGAAAGTATACCAGCCTAACTAGAGGAGAGAAAAAATAAAAGGCATAGTACGGACACGTTTCTCTCTCTCTGATCACCTCACAAAGGCATACAAGCCGATAGAGCAGGCACCACTTTGGACATACGTAAGAGCTGTGCCAGCTTGTGTCTGTGCCTGGCAATCAGCTGAGTGTAGAAACATGACTCTTGTGGGGACTGACTCTGGTGGGGAGTAATAACAGGAGGCTAAGACCTAGTGACTGTGTGGAACTTCTGAACCAGTATTATGAAAAAACAAAAACAAAAAAACAAACTGAGGGTTTGTGTATCAGAACTCACGGTGTGGCTGTGACTTTGAGTAGTCTTGGTAGGGGACGCCACAAGCTCAGGGAGTCCTGGTTACTCAGTGAAAGACATTGGGGAATCTGAACTTACATTGAGGACTACACAGATCCTTTATGTGGTCCTTGGGACAGAGCAGACGAATATTACACCCACTGGGGCTAGCACTCAGGCACTGGTCTCCATTGAGAAGAGCTCAGCTGAGCACAATTACTTCCCTTCAGATTAAAAAAAGAGAAGATTTATCATGCCAAACCTGAGTGTGTCACCTTAGGCACACCCTTAATCCTGGAGAACTGAACACAGCTCTCTAGCCACACCCACTACAAGCCTCTAGAGATTCAGTGAAGGCAGACAGTCACTTATCTACAGAGTCATAGTACAACAAGTATCGCCACAAATGCTGAACAACAAACACAACAATACAAGAAATAAGAATACGAAAGACAACATGACACTCCTAAAAGAACAAAATACTTCAATACAAGATTATGAAGATGATGAGATAGAAGAAATGCAAGAAATGGAACTCAAAAAATTGATGATATGATACTTAGAAGTAATCAAAAGCAAACACACGAACTACAGAAATCCATGCAGGACACGAAAGAAACTCTCTCTCATGAAATTGAAATCTTAGAAGGAATCAAAACGAAATGAATAATTCAATAGAATAAAAAAGGCACTTGAGATCCTTAAAAACAGAATTAGAGGCCAGCACCATGGCTCACTAGGTTAATCCTCCCCCTGTGGCACTGGCAGCCCGGGTTCTATTCCCGGTTGGGGCGCTGGTTCTGTACCGGTTGCTCCTCTTCCAGTCCAGGTCTCTGCTGTGGCCCAGAAAGCAGTGGAGGATGGCCCAAGTGCTTGGGCCCTGTACCCACATGGGAGACCAGGAGGAGGCTCCTGGCTGCTGGCTTCGTAGCGGCGCAGTGTGCCTGCCGTAGCAGCCATTTGGGGAGTTAACCAACGGAAGGGAGACCTTTCTTTCTGTCTCTCTGTCTCACTGTCTAACTCTGCCTGTCAAAAAAAAAAAAAACCAGAATTATTTAGGCAGAGGAGAGACTATCGGACTAGAGGACAGAGCACAGGAAAATATACAGTCAAACTGAAGAGAAAAAGAAGAAATTAGAAACCTAAAAAATATCATTGTGAATCTATGGAATACTATTAAAAAACCCAACATTCAGGTTCCAGGAGTTCCTGAAGGCATGGAGAGAGAGAAAGAAGGATTAGAAGGCCTTTTTAGCTACTAGCAGAAAACTTCCTGCCTTGGAGAAAGAAGGAGACGTCCAAGTACAGGAGGCACACAGAACTCCCAATAGATATGACCAGAAAAATCCTCGCCATGACACATTGTAATCAAACTCAGCACAGTGAAACATAAAGAAAGGATTCTAAACTGTGCAAGAGAGAAACATCAGATTACTCTCAGAGGATCTCCAGTTAGACTCACAGCAGACTTCTCATCAGAAACCCTACAGGCTAGGAGAGAATGGTGAGACATAGCCCAAGTACTAAGAGGAAAAAAACTGCCATCCCAGAATATTATATACTGCAAAGCGCTCATTTTGTGAATGAAGGTGAAATAAAGACCTTTCAAAGCAAAAAGAAATTGAAAGAATTTGTCACCATCCATCCAGCCCTGCAAAAGATGCTTAAAGATGTGTTACACACAGAAATACAGAAAATGATCATCAATACCAAAGAAGGTAAAGGAAGAAAATCTCTCAGTAAAAGACTACAGGAAGTTCAAACTATAAATTAAAATATCTTTGGACAAATGGAAGGGCAAAGTCACTACTTACCAATAGTCACATTGAATGTAAATGGCCTCAACTCTCCAGTTAAAAGACACAGACTGGCTGAATGGATTAAGGAACAAAACCCATCTATTTGCTGCTTACAAGAAAGGTGCATGCAGACTGAAAGTGAAAGGTTGGAAAAAGATATTCCATGCCAACAGAAACCAAAAAAGAGCTGGCATAACCATCTTAATACCAGACAAAATAGACTTTAACACAAAAACTGTTAAGATAGTCAAAGAGGGGCACTATATAATGGTTAAGGGATCAATTCAACAGGAAGATGCAACCATTAGAACTGTATATGCACCTAATTACAGGGCACTGGGCTATTTAAAAAATATGCTAAGGGATTTACAATACAATACAATACAATAGTATTGGGGGACTTCAATACTCCACTTTCGGCAATGGACAGATCAATCAGACCAATAATCAATAAGGAAAAAGCAAATTTAATTCGCACTATAGACCAAATGGACCTAACAGATATCTACAGAATTTTGTACTGCATTTAGAAAATACACATTCTTCTCAGTAGTGCATGGAACCTACACTAGGATTGACCACATACTAGGCCATAAAGCAAGATTAGTAAATTCAAAAGAATTGAAATCATACCATGCATTTTCGGACCACAATGGGATGAAGCTGAAAATCAGCAACTCAGGAAACTCTAGAGCATATGCAAATACATGGACACTGAACAACATGCTCCTGAATGAACAGTGTGTCATAGAATAAAGCAAAAACCTTCTGGAAGCAAATGAAGATAACAACACAACATACCAAACTTATGGGATACAACAAAAGCAGTGTTACAAGGAAATTTTATAGCAATAGGTGCCTACATCAAGAAATCGGAAAGGCACCAAATAAATGAGCTATCAATGCCTCTCAAGGATCTAGAACAACTACAGCAAACCAAACTGAAACTAGTAGAAGAGAAATAATTAAAATTAGAAAAGAAATCAGGGCCAGCGCTGTTGTACAGTAGGTTAATCTTCCACCTGTGGTGCCAGCATCACATATGAACACTGGTTCTAGTCCTGGGTGCACTTTTTCCAATCCAGCTCTCTGCTATGGCCTGGGAAAGCAGTGGAAGATGGCTCAAGTCCTTGGGCCCCTGCACCCGTGTTGGAGACCCGAAGAAGCACCTGCCTCCTGGATTTGGATCGGCTCAGCTCTGGCCATTGTAGCCATATGGGGAGTGAACCAGTAGATGGAAGATCTTTCTGTCTGTCTCTCTCTCTCATTGTCTGT